CTTGCAGATGGTGGTGCTTCTATGCATCTGCCTCCATTGTTCTGCCTAGTGGCCGAGGACATGGGTTTGAAAAGTGCTGATGAAGGAGTTCTGGTGTGTTTTGGCAGTGCCTGTTGTGGATGGCACTGTGCTGCTACTGAGCATTGGTAGTGGAGGGAGTAGATGCTTGTGGATATGGTACCAATCAAGTAGGCTGCTTTACACTAGATGGTGTCAAGCTTCTTGAGTGTTGTTGGAGTTGCACCCATCCAAGCAAGGGAGAGCATTCCATCACACACTTGACTTGTGCCCTGTAGATGGTGGACAGTCTTTGTGGAGACAGGAGGCGAGTTACTCGCTACAGAATTCATGGGCTCTGATCTGCCCTTCTATATGACGAGTGCAGTTTTGTTTCTGTTTGGTGGTAACCTCCAGGATGTAGGTAGTGGAGGATTCAGTGATAGTAATGCCATTGAATGTCAACAGGTAGATTTTCTCTTGTTGGAGATGGTCATTGCCTGGTATTTGTGTAGCAGGAATATTATTTGCTAATTATCTAGATATTGTCCAGATCTTGCTGCCTGTGGATGCCTGAATGGTCACGAATGGTGCTGAATGTTGTGCAATTATCAGTGAACATCCCCACTTCTGACCTTGTGATGGAGGGAAGATCATAGATGAAGCAGCTGAAGATGGTTGGACCCAGACAACAACTGCAGAGATGTCCTGGAGCTGAGATGAATGACCTTAGTAATTAACAGACATCTTCCTTTGCACTAGTTATGACTTTAACCAACAGTGAGTTTTTCTCCTTTTTTCCCATTCACTGCAGTTTTTCAGGAGTTCCTTGTAGCTGTACTCAGTCAAATGCTGCCTTGATGTCAAGGGTGGTTTATCTCACCTCACCTCAGAACTTTGGCTGTTTAGTCCATGTTTGGACTAATGCTGTAATATTGCCAGGAGCCTCATGGACCTGGCAGGAACCAAACTGAGCGATACTGAGCAAGTTATTCCTTTGCAAGTGTCTCTTGACAACCTGTCAACCACCCGTTCCATCATTTTACTGACCATTGAGAGCAGATTGCGAGGGTGACAATTGACCAGATTGGATTTGCCCTTCTTTTTATGTACAGGACATACCTGGGCAATTTTACACATTGTTGGGTACATGCCAGTGTTGTAACTATACTGGAACAGCTTGGCTAATGGCACGGCAGTTCTGGAACACAAGTCTTCAGTACTATTGCTGAAATGTTGTCAGGGCCCGCAGCCTTTGCAGTATCCAAAGTGTTCAGCTGCTTCTTGAGATCATGTGGCGTGAATTGAATTGGCTGAGGGAGGCACTTCTGGCTGAAGATGGACTCTAGTAGTTCAGCCTTAAACAAAACAGAAATTGCTGGAAAATCTCAGCAAGTCTGGCAGCATCTGTGGAGAGAAATCAGAGTTAACATTTCGGGTCCAGAGACCCTTCCTCAGATCCTTTCTCTGTTCAGCCTTATCTTTCTGATTTATACACTGGATCCTTCCATCATCAAAGATGAAGATATTTGTGGAACATCCACCCCTGTTTTTTAAAACATTTGTTCATATCTTATAAGCATCACTGGCTCGCATTTCATTGCCTGTCCCTAATTAACCAGAAGGCAGTTAACAATCAAGCAAACTTCTTTGGTTTTGGAGACACATCTGGGTCAGATCAGGTAACGGTGGCAGATTTCCTTTTGCTGAAGGGCACTAATTAAACAGCTGGGCTTTTATGACAATCAGCATTGATTACATTGTCATCATTTATCCTGGGTTCTGTACTTCTAGTGCACTGACATTACCACAATGCCAATGCATCCCCAAATGTTGGTGATTTATTTAATTGACCAAAATAACTAGATGTGGCAGGGTTACAGAACTTAGATCTGATCTGCCTGTTGCTTGCTGCTTCTGCTGTTTGCTATACAAGTATTGGAGTTGATACCTCACTCTTAGTTACGTTGTGTTTTTCCTGGAATGACCTCCTGCACTCTTCATTTAACCAGGGTTGATCTTCCAGCCTGCTTGTAATGGGTCTGTGGGGAATATACCTGACCTTGAGGTTAAATAGTTGTGCCATCAATGGCCACTTTGGAGTTGCTACATCTGTATAAATTTGAGTCACAGCAGAGCAGGGAAATTCTTAAGGAGAAGACAGGAAAATGGAGGATAGTTGGGTTCTTGCAAAGCAAACAGTTTTGGCAGGGACTTCTCAATAATGCCATGGTGAGGGCAGGGAAAATGATAATGGAAACATTTTAATATTGTTTGAAACAATTTTCTGTCCCACCCTGATATACTGCCTTGCTTTCTTTCTCCCTGTTTGTCTGTCATGCTGTTTTATGCCGCACCTCTCAATCCATCCATCGCTTCATTGATGTTTTGATTCTAGGTTTGGAAATGCCACATTAAAACTGGTACATTCGTCCCCAATTCAGTATATGTTTGTAATACACTTACATAAGCAACAAATAGGTAACCTGTGATTTTTGACAATAATTAGTTTAGAAGTTGCCCTTTGTATTATTTCTTAGAGATGTTGATATGAATTTTCACAAGTGCGAAGTTTTGTTTTAGTTTTGGGCAGCTGCCCCATCTGGTCCTCGGGTCTTTTGAAGAAGAATATTCCTGTAGCATTAACTATTAATCACTTAAGAAATGTACTAAAGTATAATGTGTATTAAAATAACATACTCATTATTTTGTAAGCAATGACAATACTTGTGCTAAATGATAATTTACCTCTGATATCAAAAAGAATAGTGACTTATTTAAAAGCAGCTTTGTGCAATTTTCGGAAAATGATCTATGCAATGCTTTCAGCAACACAGATGAAAAGCAAAGTTTTTGAGTGTAAAATAACAGCTCTCTACTTAAGACAAAAATGGCAATATACTTGTTTATAGGGACATGTTGTCTGTCAATAAAAGTCTGTAAAGATCTTTTCATGTTTGCTTTGAAATGAATTGCAATTCAAAAGGATTTTAAAAGCTGTTTTATTTAACTCTTTCCCTCCCTAAGGATTCACTGCATAACATGGAGTCATAAGAGTCAAACAGCAACAGAAAACATCGAAACTTAGAAACTGGAAACAGGAGTAGGCCATTCAGCCCTTCTAGCCTGCTCCATCATTCAATGTGATCATGGCTGATCCTCTATCTCTATGTCGTGTTCATACTTTCACCCTGTATCCCTTGACGCCTTTGAAATCTAAAAAAAAGTTATAAATCTTTTTCTTGAATATACTCAGTCTTCTGTGGTATAAAATAAGTATCACTATCTGTGGTATCAATAGGCTCACTAATCTCTGAGTGAAGAATATTTTCCTCATCTCAGTCCGAAATGGTCTGCCTCTGTCCTGGGACTGCATCCCTTAGTTCTCAACTCTCCTGATGTATGCCACTCATAATTTTATAGACCTCGGTCAGGTCCCTCCTTAGCCTTTTCTACTATAAGGAGTACCACCCCAGCCATTCGAGTTTCTCTTCATAGCTGAAACACTACAAATCAGGCAACCTTCTGATGAACCTCCTCTGCACCCTCTCTAGTGCAACCACATTCTTGCTATAGTGTGATAGGTCCTACTGTAAAATGTGTACTCTGTTGCTTTGCCCACCATCTCAAAATGCATCACCTCATACTTTTCAGGATTAAATTGCATTTACCATAGTTCTACCTGTTTGACTAGCCATCTACATCATCATGCAGTCTAAAGCTTTCCTCCTTGTTATTTACCTCACCATCAATTTTCATGTTATCTCTGAATTTACTGACCGTACCTCCTGCCTTTATGTCGAGATCATTAATGTACACAACAAACAATGAACCCTGTAGTACAACACTGGACACAGGCAACCAGTCATAAAACCAACCTTTGAACGTCACTGTCTGTCTCCTGTCACAAAGCCAATTTTGGATCAAATTTGTCAAATTGCCTTGGATCCCACAGGCTCTTGGCTTTTTAATCTGTCTGCCTTGCAAGACCTTGTTAAAAGCCTGAATGAAGTCCGAGTAGACCTTATCAACTGCACTACCTCAATGACACGTCTAGTCAGCTCCTTGAAAAACAAACCTGTCAGATGTGATCCTTCCCAACAAAGACATGGGTACTGTCCTTTATTAATCATTGACTCTTCAATTGATGCTAAATTTTTCCATAAGTTTTCCTACTTCTGAATCATAGAATCATGGAATACCTACAATGTGGAAACAGGCCATTCGGCCCAACAAGTCCACAACAAGCGGACACTTACTGACATGTATTTCCCTGGTTTATCCCTAATCACTTTTCTTGAATAATGGTACCATATTAGCCATTCTCTAATCCTCTGGCACCTCCCCTATGTCTAGAGAGATTTTGAAAATTAAATTCAGGGCCCCTGCAATCTATCCCACCTTTGCCTTCCACAGCAGCCTGGGACAAATCTCATCTTGGCCTGGGGACTTATTCATTTGCTGAAACCACCAACATCGCTTCTTTCTCAATTGTAATTTGTACAAGTATGTCATGGCTCTTATCCCAGATTTCATGTTACCACAAAGAAAAATAAATTAATGTTTGAAATCAGAAGTAAAATCTGGAAGCACACAGCAAGCAGCACAGCACTCTCAGCATCTGAGAGTGACTGATAGGCGACATAGAAGCAGGAGTAGGCCTGTTGTAATGGCTCCGAAGCCTCCATCATGGCTACATACCACCATCCACCACCCTTCCTCCCCCGATTTTAGTTAGATAGTAGCAATCTGTACCTCCATTCCATTTACCTATCTTTCATCCTTATTCCTTCCGACCCTTAACCAAAAATATTCTCAGCCTAAAAATCCTAATGGACAAAGAATCGCACACTGGAAAGAATTTTTATTATAATTTGTTCACGGTGTGTGGGTATCACATTTATTGCCCATCCCTAATTGCACTAGAGAAGGTGGTGATGAGCTGCACAACAAAATGTATAAGTACTGACACCGACCAATTGCTACTATTCTGCTTTTTACAGGTGTGTTGAATTCAGCTCCATTCCTTCTTCCTGGGCGTCACTTTCTGAATGCAAGTCTGCTGGCAGTCAGCGCTGGAGCAATTGTTCCTTATTTGATTGATCCAAGCTATGCAACTGGTATTGTCTGTTTGGGATCTGTATCTGCTCTTTCTGTGGTTATGGTACGTAACAGAAAACAGTCAACAGCTAACACTTGCAAGTACCTGAAAATAACGACTGAGAGACATAGGATCATAGAATCCCTACAGTGTGGAAGCAGGCCATTCGGCCCATCGAGTCTACACTGACCCGCCATAACTGAGAGAATTAGAGATGTCCCTTGTTCAGCCTACAATAGAAACATGCTGATTTCGGCTGATAGGTAATCTTTGTGATGAAAGGATGAGATTTCTTGTGTTTTGCAGCTTCCTTTAAGAATTATATGTGAGAAAAAGTTCCTGTGGCTGGTGCTTTTAGACCATCCAGGCACAGCGGAAAGTCAGTTCTGTGGAAATTCCTGATGGATCCCCTCCATTTCAATGATTAGATGGAAAATTGAATTGGCTCCATTAGGTATCTATCCCCCTCCCTCACCCTCTTGCCTTGTATTTCAGTGGAGGAAAGGGAGAAAGGGTAATTTGTAAAACTTAAGTATCAGAGGGATTGAAGGTTCTGCAGGGATTGTCGCGTTGGAGGAGGTCATACAAAAAGATAAGGGGCAATTCCATGGAGGGAGTGAAATGTAAAGCTCTTTCCTTGTATAAGAGACAACTATAAATCAGTAATGGATGAGCAGGACCTTAACAGGTGAAAGAAACCAAAAAAAGCATGTAATTTTTAAAAAAGAAATATTTGGAATCCTGTGGTTCTTTTATACTGTGGCAACGTGCTACAGCAAAATTCTTCCTGCCACCCACCTTCACCAGGATTGTTATAATCAGGGATCAAAATATCAGAATTTCTATCCACTTTTAACTTCTAGTGGGCAGTAGTTCTTCTCCATTCCAGACCCTGGCTATATGATTCCAGTGACAAAAACAATGTCTGATCGTGAAGTATGTTTTGTTATTGAATACACATGAAAGCCCTGAGGTGTCAATCAAAAAAATGAAAAATAATGTGGATCTTTACTGTGTAGCAGATCATTTTTAGACTCATTTCATGATAACTTTGGATTTCCTTGTGTAAAGTTATATTACCATCCAGAGTTATTCTGAACATTCCATGTTTGTGTTGTTTGTTTGTGGCAGTTTGTTTTTGTGAGTTATTTTGTGTTGGTCTATTTGTCCTTTAGGGTGTGACATTAACAGCTGCTATTGGTGGTGCTGACATGCCCGTGGTCATCACTGTACTGAACAGTTACTCCGGCTGGGCCCTGTGTGCTGAAGGGTTTCTGCTGAACAACAACCTCTTAACTATTGTTGGTGCATTGATCGGCTCTTCTGGTGCTATCCTCTCCTACATCATGTGTGTGGTAAGCAATGCATTTCTGTATGTTTCTGCAAACATTGCTTTCTCAAACAGGAAAGTTAACAATTGAAAGTGTTGAGCAGGTTTAAATTTTTATGTCGCACTGACAACAGCATGCCAACTTTCTTTAAGTTTTAATTAGAGCATGAAAAATAGGAGCACAAGTCAGCCATCGGGCCTTGGGAAGCATCTTTGACATTCAGAACAGTTATAGTTAAAGTCCTTTATCAATTCCAGCCACATGCCCTAACCTTACATCCCCTGATTCCTTCAGTACCCAAGAATCTATCTCTCAGTCTTGAATATAATTAACAATGAATCAGCCACAGTTTAAGATTTACCAAGATCTGCAGCTCTCTGAGTGTACAAGTGTTTCCTCAGCTCCATCTTAAATGACTGACTCCTTATCCTGAGGCAATGATCCCTATTTCTAAACCCTGCAACTGTGGAAAACAACATCAACGTTATGATGGCAGGTCATAGAGTCATATAGATAGACAGCACAGAGAAAGGTCCTTTGGCCCATTGGGTCTGTGCTTGTCAAAAACACCACCTATATATTCTAATCCCATTTTCCAGCACTTGACCCATAGTATTATGTGCCTTGGCATTGGAAGTGCTCATCTAAATGTTTCTTAAATATCATGGGCTTTCTGCCTCTACCACCCTTACAAGCACTGAAAATCCCTATAAATCTAAAACCCCTAAAATCCCTATAAATCTCCTGCCTCTTACCTTAAATCTATGCCCCCAGTCCACCATGGGAAGTTCCTTCCTGTCTACCCTGTCTGTGCCCCTCATAATTTTATATATCTTGCTTATTCCCCCCTCAGTCTCCTCTGCTCCAAGGAACACAATCCCACTGTGCCTAAGCTCTCTTCTTAATCTCTCCAGCACAGGCAACATCCTGATAAATCTCTTCTGCACCCTCTCCAAGGCTATAAATCACTCCTACAATGTGGATTCCAGAACCACACACAATATGTGGCCTAACCAACTTTTTGCACAATTCCAGCATAACCTCACTGTTATTAAATTCTGTGCCTCAGTTAATAAAGTCAAGTATCCCATATGCCTTTTTAATCACCTTATCTGCCTGCCCAGCTACCTTAACCGACTGGTGGACATGCACATCAACGTTTCACTGATCCTTGGTGCTTCCCAGGATCCTCTAACAGTTTTATATATTTCCATGGGATCACATCTCATTCTACTAAACAACAGAGCCTGCATTCCACCATTCAATTAGATCACGGCTGATCTATATCTTAACTACATCCATCCACCTTGGTTCAGTAATTGTTCATGCTTGCTTAATGACAATCTATCAATCACACCCTTGAAAGTTTTAATTGAAATGGGCTTAGTAGATTGTTGGAGGAAGAGAGTTCCAGATTTCCACTACCATTTGTGTGAAGAGTGTTTCCTGACAATATGTCAGAATGGCTGCCTAGCTGTAATTTTGAAGTAATGCCCCTTGATCTGCATTCTTCCACAAGAGGAAAGATTTGTTCCTTACGTATGTTTAAATTGATTAAAAAGCTTAAAACATTGATGCAATTCCCAGCCATGGATGGGGCTAAAGTGTGATGTTAGAATTTTCATTTTTATATTTATTTGTATCAGTAGAAGTGGAGATGGGAAGAATAGTGGCCTCAGTCAGGCAGTCATCAAAGATAGTTAATGTAAGATTCAAATTATACGTAATGAGCTCCTTTTGAGTTTCGGTTTAAGGCACAGAGAGATCTTTAACTCTGATATACAGCAAATTTGTCCTGGGAGCCCTCTATTCCAACACTGAGTGCAGAATATGAAAATAAAATTCCAATCCCTGGCGTTGAATATAGGACTACAATAGATGCTGTGTAGCAGACTGATGAGTTATGTGCTAGCACCTGAATCCAGATTCTCTATAGCCAGTTCTTGAACTGTCAGAAAGAAATACACATTGGAAACCAAATCACTTCTGCACAGCAAAAAAATAGGGAGCTTGAGTCATTCAACTGAATAAATAAATTTATCAGTGGCACTAATGAAGGGATGGAAATGTTTGAATCAAGATGTCATTGGACACCTGGAATGATAATCATGGGAAATGACATTAAATGTAGAAAAGAAAATTATATTTCTTAATTTGTATTCTGAGAATAGATAATTATGTATGTTTGAAGTCCAGTCTCCATAAGAGGAAGGTTAACTTTTCATTAACCTTTTGGATTTGTTTTTCTACCTGTGTTTTAGCTTGTAGTGATTTATTTAAAGAAGATTCATAAATTATGGCAGAATCTCTGTTTTAACCTCTCTGCCTTCTTTGTTTTAACAGCCTTCAGACATTGATGAATTGTCCACTTTGAGTCCTGCTCAATTTGATTTTTGGAACCAATCCCTTTCCTGCAGTTAACTCTATCAGTTGTTCCATTTATGTATAGTTGGTACAAATCACATCCTCAAGATGTGCTTTCGTAGTCAATGAATTACTTTTGAAGTTTAATCACTGTTGATATATAATTATTCTCACCTTAATCATAATCATTTTAATTCCTTTTTAAATTTGTTTACTTTAAATCTCTTTTTAGTCATGCAATGTTATGTTGATGCACCATTTTACCTAATAAGGATATATTTGCCAAGGTTTTCTATTTATTGAATTTATGAAAATATCTAAATGCACAACTTGGCCCCTTTGCTAACTTTGCCAGTCAATAATTTTGGGTCAGCTCTTGTGTAATCTCTTTGAACTTAGCCATTTTCCTGTCCAGCACCCTTGTTACACTGACCCTTCATTGGCCTTTACTGGTCTTCATGGAACCCAGCAATCAGTTTTCTGATTTTTCTGATTTTTGTCACAGCCCCACTTCATTACCCAATATTAAATCCAGTATTTTTCATTCTTTCTTTGTGTTGTAAACATACTGATCCTGCCATTAGTTCTAGCTGTATTTCAAAAAGCATCACCCTACCTTCACATGGCTAAAATTACACTGTGTTATTGCTTTGATGTAAAACCATAGCTATGAATTGTCTGCAGTTCTCTCCCACCATCTCACGTTCACAATTTGGTGACCAAGAATTACTCTATCTGTCCGATTCCTCTCTTAGTGCAAACATCTGCCTTTGCCGTGGAATTCTTCATCATTGCTACTTTGCTCAACAAGATAACCTACAAAAAATTAAGTCATAACATAACAGCCCATGGTGTTGGAGGCAGTATATTGGCATGGATAGAGAATTGGCTCATATGCAGGAAGTCACGAGTGGGAATAAGGGATTCCTTTTTCAGATTGGTGATCGGTGCGGTTCCGTTAGTGTTGGGACCACTACTGCTTACAATATATATTAATGACTTGATTCTTTATTCTTTATTCATTCATGGGATGAGGGTGTCGCTGGCTAGGCAGCATTTATTGCCCATCCCTAATTGCCCAGTTAAGAGTCAACCATATCGCTGTGGTCTGGAGTCACGTGTAGGCCAGACCAGGTAAGGACGGCAGTTTCCTTCCCTAAAGGACATTAGTGAACCAGGTGGGTTTTTCCGACATTCGACAATGGATTCATGGTCATCACTAGCTTCTTAATTCCAGATATTTATTGAATTCAAATTCCATCATCTGCCATAGTGGGATTTGAACCTGAATCCCCAGAATGTTATCTGGGTCTCTGGATTAACAGTCCAGCGATAATACCGCTAGGCCATTGCTTCCCCATTGTGGAGGGTGCTGGTGTTGGACTGGGGAGGACAAAGTCAGAAGTCACATGACACAAGGTTATAGTCCAACAGGTTTATTTGGAATCACACAAGCTTTTGGAGCTTTGTCAGGTGCACCTGATGAAGGGGCTGCACTCCGAAAGTTTGTGTGATTCCATCTAAACCTATTGGACTATAACCTCGTGTCATGTGACTTCTGACTTTATTGATGACTTGGAGGAAGGAAGTGAATGTACTGTAGTCAAATTTGCAGATGACACAAAAGTAGGTGGAAAGGCAGGTTATGAGATGGATACATGCAGTTTATAGAGAGATAATGATAGGTTAAGTAAGTGGTGAAAAGTTGGCATGCAGAGTTTAAAGTAGGAAAATGTGAAGTTGTTCATTTTGGAGGGGAGAACAATAGAACAGACTGTTATTTAAATGGAGAATAATTGCAGAAAACTGTAACACATAGAGCCTTGGGGGATGTGCACAAAACACAGAAAGCTAGCACACAGGTACAGCAGGTAATCAGGAAGACTAATGGAATAGTGGCTTTTATTTCAAGGGATTTGGAGTATAAGGGTAGGGAATTCTTACTGCAACTGTTCAGGGGGCTGTTGAGACCACATCTGGAGAACTGTGTTATTATTTAAGGAAGGATATTATTTCATTGGATGGAGGCAGAATAGAGAAGGTTTACAAGAATGATCTCAGTATGGAGGGATTGTCCTATGACCAAAGACTAAACAAGTTGGGGCTGTAGTTGCTGGAGTTTAGAAGAATGAAAGGTGATCTCATTGAAACATATAGAATTCTTAGCAGACCTGACAGGGTAAATGATGAAAGGTTATTTCCCCTCATGGGAGAGTCTAGGACCAGAGGGCACAGTCTCAGAATTGTGGGGTGCCAATTTAAGACTGAGATGAGGAGGAATTTCTTCTCTGAGAGAGTTGTGTGTCTTTGGAACTTGTTGCCACAGAGATCTGTGGGGGCAGAATTCTTGTGTATATTTAAGTCTGAAATAGATTCTTGATTAATGGGGGATCACGTGTTATGGGGAAAGGACAGGAAAATGGATGTGAGGAATGTTGAATTAGTCATCATCCAATTGAATGGTGGGGCCGGCTCAAGGGGTCACATGGCCTACTCTTGTTCCTATTTTTCATGGTCTTATGAGCTTTCTTTTTGTACTGCCTGATCCTAAAATATTGTAACCAGGAATATTAAGTTCTCCAATCTGTCCCTCACCATTATAATCATCACATCATATGTTTAGAAATTTCAAGCTGTGTTTGAGTGCTTTGTGTATTTGC